TCCTAACCTTTCGGACAACATCAACAAAGTTTTACGATCTACTTACCCAAACTTACATCTTGCATTCAAATCTCACAACACAATCTCTAAATTATACACATCCTTAAAAGATCCTGTTCCTCTCTCACACCGCTCTCATATTGTTTACCGTATTCCATTTTCTACCCCCAATTGTTTTTCATCCTATATTGGTGAAACTAAAAATCTCCTAAAAGACCGCATCATCCAACATAAATACTCTGTATCCTCTCGTAATTCAACCGCCTCCAAATTATCCGAACATTCTCTCTCCCTCAATCATACATTTGATTTCGATAAAACATCCACATCCAGCTTCAACCAAAGACAGTAAATTTAAAAACGGACAAACAGAATTTATCTTTAGCCTATTTCCAAATTCTGAATTTATTAAAACATCCATAGTTATCCTTTCCTTTTTGCTGACAACTTTATATATATATATATATATATATATATATATATATTATATATATATATATATATGTATGTGCGTGTAAGTATTGGTGTGTGTGTATGTGTATGTATATATTTGTATGTATGTGTGTGTATGTGTATGTAAGTATGTATGTGTATGTGTGTGTGTATGTGTATGTATATATTTGTATGTATGTGTGTGTGTGTATGTGTATGTAAGTATGTATGTGTATGTGTGTGTGTATATATATATTTATATGATCTGTATTAATTTCAATTATTCTCCATTATTACTCAACAGTTATTTTCTTCGTTTTATTGCTTCTCCAGAATTTCTATCAACTATTTAAATGCATTACAAATTTAGTTATAATTTATAAATTATTTATTTATTATAAATTTATTATTTATTATAAATTTATTATTTATTATAAATTTATTTTATTTTAAACTATTTTATTGCCTATTTCTATCAACTTTCGTTTTATTCCTTAATATTTATGAATAATATATCTCTCGTTCTTATTTACGATTCCGATACGTTAGTTCAAACTTTGTTAGATAACCGTTGGAGGTGACGCCACTATACATCCCTTCTATCCACCTCCATCCTTCAATAACACGAGCATTGCATCTTTACCTTAGAGCAGTCAGGTTGTTATCATTTCTCTTACTTATTCTCTTTCTTATTTCAACCTTCTCAGTTTTTCTCCTCCTTCCTTTCATTCCTTTTCTCTGTTTTAACTCTTTCTTATTTCATACTTTGTCTGTACATATTGATAGACTTTACAACATCTCAATTTTCTATCTAAATATTCTATTCACTCTATCTTAATTTTACTATTTATTTCCATTTCTTATATAACTTCATATTTTTCTGTTTTACATTTTATTCTAAGATTCCCTTTACAATACTTATGTCACCTTTTTTGACTATGTTTACTTCATTATTCCACACTTTGTACCTGTTATTATTATTTGTCTCTTGTTCTTACTATTGTCATTATTCTAACAACTTCATTTTACTGTAATTTTTATATTTCTCATACCTTGTTATCTGGTTCTTTTCTTAGCCCTGATGATGGCCTGAACTTCAGGTCAAAACGTCGGCTTATGTAAAAATAAATATTATCAGTTATTTTTGCCTTCTTTTTTGACTGACCACCCCAACTAAAAAGTTAATAGTAGACATCAAGATATACAAAAAAAGTTCATATAAACAATTGTCCAATTCCCAGCAGAAAAGTAGGAAATTTAAGGTTTTTTTTTTTTTTTTAGCCAGTCACGTTTTTTGTTAAATAAGAAGAGATACCTTAAAAAATATTTGGTTTAAGAAACCAACCTTGCCCCATAGTAAACAAGACAAAATTTAATTTAAAAAAAAGCAGAGGTTGTTGTTGAGACCATTTAAAGAGGGCTATTGAGCGGACAAGAACAGCTAAGTTCCTTTTTAAAAAATTATCACCCTTTAACTGTAGTACATTTACCCCACTTTTAGAAAACTTCCTCATTTAGTAAGCTTAGATTCCAAATTACCTAAGTTGAGGTTTATTAGAAAAAATTTTGAGATTCATCTCAAGTTGTGTAAAGAAATGATGTGATTTTTTATCCAGCCACCTAAAAGTATTTGAGTTTTCAGCAAAGATGACTATAATTAACTGTTTCAAAGCTTTTATTTCTTATTTTTCCTTGTATAATATGGGGTGTATTTTAATAAACATAATTGCCTAAAAACACATTTTATTTATAAATATAAAAAATTTAAAAATAAGGTTTTTTTAAATATTGTTCACGGAAAGTGGTAATAAAACTGTTTTTTTCTCCCAGATTTCCGTCATAGGAATTAATATGCATTTATCAGTGACAAATTTAATGTTCCTTACTAAAAATTTACATTTAAATTAAAGAAACCTACTGATTGCTTCAATTATTTTCATGAAAACGTAAATATTGGGGATAGAAACATTAAGTTTGTCACTTATAAATACATACGCATCAATTTCTATGACAGAAATGTGGAAGAAAAACACAATTGCATAACCATATCACATGAAAAATATTTGAAAAATCACTATTTTTAAATTTTTTATTTTTATAAATAAAATGTGTTTTTAGGCAATTATTTACATCCCATATAATGGAAAAACAAGAAATAAAAGCTTTGTGATAGTTGATTGTAGTAATTTTTGCTGAAAACATGGTTGCTTTTAGGTGACGATAGAAAATCATCATTTCTTTACACAATTTCTTTACACAACTTGAGGTAAATCAAAAATTTTCCTTATAAACCTCAAAATTAATTAATATGGACTTAAAGCTTGATAAAGGACGAAGTTTTTGTAAAAGTGAGGTAAATGTAGTACAGTCAAAGGGTGATAAAAAAAAAATCACAAATAATTGATGACTTTTTCTTAAACGGTACTTAGCTGAGTTTGTCCGGTCAACAGTCCTCTTCAAATAGTTTTAACAATGACAAAATCTACTTTCTTTTGAAGTAAATTTTGTCTAGTTTATTATGGAGCAACGTTTAATTACTTAAATCAAATATTTTTTTAATTATGGCTTCCTATTCTACAAAAAACATGACTCACTTAAAAAAACACACATCTTAAATTTCTTCTTTTCTGCAGGAAATTGTGCAATTGCTTTTATGAACTTTTTTATAGATCTTGATGTCTGTGATCTACCTTTTAAATATTTCCCTCTACTTACGGGACACCCTGTGTATATATAGGATCTTGAATAAGTTCTCGATTTTTCTTCACTGATGGCAGGATCAGTTGTAAGTTCATTTCATTTCAGATGATTTTCCAAGAACTAATATCAGTTAGGTTACACTTCAACTGAACTTGAAAATCATTACTACTAGATGGTATGAGTGCTTTGAAATATTTGAAAGTAATAAGAGTGGAGCTTCACCTGTATAAAAGGAAAAGTTTTTTTGCATTGTATTGTGATTGATAATGCAAAATGGATACCTCATGATAATCCTAACCTTAGAAAACCATGAGGTAAGCACGTCCTCTTTTCAAGCTTCTCTTCTGCATTTGGTGGGATCAGCATGGTGTAATTCATTATGAGCTGCATGAACCGAATGAACCAATCACAGGAAATTGCTATTGACTACAATAGTTGCGTTTGAACCAAGCCCTAAAGGAAAAACAGCTGCTATACCAGAACAAATCTACCTGAAAACTCTTTAATTGGAAGTTCTACACCACTCGCCAAATTAACTGGATATAGCCCCTTCTGATAATCACTTATTTCGTTCGGTGGCATATGGCCCAATTGAGCAGCACCTCCATTCTTATGAAAATACCAAAACTGGTTAGATTCTTAGATAGCCTTAAAAGAAGAGTTGTTTTTCTGATGTGGAATTCATATGGTATATTGTTAGACACCCTGGGTATCTAGTATCTGCGTATCTTATGGGTAGATTCTTTGATAGCCTTAAAAGACAAGTTGTTTTTCTGATGTTGAATTCATATGCTGCCAGAAAGATGTGAGCAAGTAGTGGCTAGTGATGGTTAATTCTGTCAGTGATATATTTCTTAGCACTTACTTTAAATAAAGAATTAATTTTCTAAAAAAACAAAACAATGAGAACTGATTTAAGATCCTAATATATGTATTTAAACTATAATGACTATATTTTAAAAATCAACTAATTTTCAAGAATACAGATCACTTCAAACTCATGAAAAGTGAAACAAAATACAGAATTGCACAAGATCAATTATTATGAAAATCTTCTGAAGAGTGGTTATAATTGTTATAGAAGATAGGAACAAACATAAGATAGTATTGTTTTTTTTTTATATCTGATTTCCATTTATCACGGCAGTAAAAGAAGGAATAAACAATATATTTATACAATATGAATTTTTTTTTTTCTTATGCCTTTCGACTTTCGGGCTTCTGCCTTGTAGAGTCTTGTAACAGCTTGGGCTGATATAGGTGACAGCTGTGATTGTTTTGTTCTATTTAAGATATCCAGGGAGCATGTTTTACAATAACTGGATGCAATCACAATCACTGTCTCTTCATCAGGTACTTTCCTGAAGGATGGTTTCCAATTCTTGGTAGAAATCTCCACTGTTTTTTTTTATTAGGACTAATAATCCTATGCCCAACCCCCAACCTAGAGGACCAGGAGCTATGGTTTAAGATACAGGGATCACTCACCTATGATATGAAGTGAAAACATTTATTTAATAATATTAATTTTAAATTTCATGGATAAATGTAATTTTTGATAAATTACTGGAATATGTAACTGAATTACAAAAAGAAAAAGTTTTTACTAAATACTCAATCGTTGACTGTAGTATAATATTAAGGAAATAGGTGGTCCAGGGTGGAGACCATCATAGTTGGGTCGAAAGGTTGGCTTAAAATAAAATATTTTTCAATATTTTAAGTTTTTGTATGACTGCCACCCCAGACTATCTATTTCCTCAATAAAATATTTACATTGGGATGAAGAAATAGCTTTGGCAAACTAAAAAGAAAAATAAATAACTGTGATAGTTTTTTATATTGATTTTATAGTTTATAAAAGTTACCAATAGGCTGAGGATCTTCTTCGCTACTAAGACTTTTAAAATCCAATAAATAGCTTTTATAATCAACTTGATATAGTTGAAGTGACATCTTAGTATATTCAGAATCACTATTAACCTTCTTTAGTCTCACTCGAACATGATATGGGTTTATTACTTTCCATTCCTAAAACATTAGAAAAAAAAACTTTAATAAGGCCTTAAATGTAATATAAATAATATTGAAATGTGATAGACATTTTAAAATTGAAGAATAAATTTTCTAAATGAAAAAAACTAATGAATAAAACTTACAAAATCTAGAGCTTTCATTGCACGATAAACTTCATTCATGATATCAGTTGGTTTGCTCTGAGATCTTATACCTGAAATAATTAAAAAAAAAATAACTGGAAAAGAAAAATGTACAACAAAAACAATCCACTTATTAAATATAATCTTATACTAACATATTCCATAAACAACAAAACAAAAAACTAACACTGCAATATATGAAGTAAATTTGGTTCACTATGTAATGAGAAAGTACCTACATATGTCTTTATAGGAAGTTTTAACTATATTTATAAATTCAAATATCTTTGATTATAAATAGAAATAAACAAGGGTTCATTATTAAATAGAAAAAAAAATCAATATTAAATTGGGAAATTGATGTTAAATAAGGTGAAAGGTTAATTTAGTATTGTCTTCCAAAAAAGTGTTAATTAAGTGTAAATACCTAATTTTTGTGTAACAAAAGTGTTTTATCAAGACAAGATTGCTAAGGACAAAACACCAAACAAAGATTGAGCGGATTTCACCGCCAACAATGGTGGAATCATCTCAAACTGAGGTAAGTAACATGAACTTTGAAAACAGTGATATAAACAATGAAGACGGCTCCTGGGAACTGGTTATTGGTCGTAAAAGACCTATGATAGATTCGAGCGAGCCAAGAGCTCAAAAAAGACCGACAGAATCTATCCCAACCTCGAACAGTTTTCAGGTTCTAACCAACTTCACTAATTTACAAACAGAAGAAGTTAGAAGACCGCCTCAAAACAATAAAACTCCACCAATTTTTATAAACGGTGTTGAAAATTACCATGCATTAATCTCATTTCTAGAAAACGAAACGGGTCCTAATATGTTTAAAACTAAGTCTACATTGAAAGGTGTCACTGTGTACCCAGAAAATCCTGACGTTTATCGAAAATTAAATTCTAGCCTGCGAAATAAAGGCGCCGACTTCCATACTTACCAACTTCCACAGGACAAATGCCCAAGGATTGTTGTTAAACATCTTCACCATGGAACACCAATCGATATCATTAAAGAGGAATTTAAAAAATTGGGTTACGAAGCCACCAATGTAGTTAACGTCATATCTAGATTCAAAAAACCCCTTCCTATGTTCTTTGTGGACATTACAAAAGAGACATTTAGGGAAGAAATTTTTAGTATTGAATTTCTTTATTATTCACATATTAAAATTGAGGAACCGCGTCAAAAGAGAAATATTCCTCAGTGTGTTCGGTGCCAGCAATATGGGCACACTAAAACTTATTGCAACCATCGACCACGATGCGTAAAGTGCGGTGAATATCATGAAACCAGCTCATGTTTGAAAACGAGAGACACCCCCGCGAAATGCGCCAACTGTGCCGGTCAGCACCCCGCTAATTACAGAGGCTGCCAGACGCTGAAAGATCTCAGGTTTCAGCACAATGCAAGAAATCGTCTTCAGCGTTCCACAGTAGCAGAGCCAGCGCAGGGACCTCCAGGCATGCATGAATTCCCTCCAATACGGCAACGTCACAACCAAGGGGAACCACAGATCATCGCAGGACCTCCGCAACAACAAAACCAAACATCATCTAGTTCAGCACCCCCGAACCAGAAAACATGTACAGGTACGAGGAGAGGCATTACCCAACCGATACCTCCGGTAGATAATGGCTCTTCTCAATTATTTAATATAATTAATGGATTAAATAACCTAATCCAGCCCCTTTTCATTCTTCTTCAACAACTGTCACAGGTTACACAGGTCTGGTGCCCAAATTATGGCCCACAATAATTTAACTGTAGGCTCCTTGTCAGTTCTTCTATGGAATGCCAACGGACTGAAACAGCACAGTACTGAACTCGACTTATACTTGCACGAAAAACGAATCGACGTAGCACTCATCACAGAAACACACCTGACATCCCGATCAAAAATTTACATCCAGGATTACACAATTTACAGAACTGATCACCCAGATAAAACTGCACATGGAGGAACAGCTATACTCGTCAAAAATTCACTGAAACACAATCCCGTAGACTTACCCATTACACCCGACATACAATCGACAGGAATAACACTATACACTAAACACTACACTATAACATTTGCCTCAGTTTACTGTCCCCCTAGGTACAAGCTTACACCCACGATGTTTTCTGAGTTCTTCAAACGCCTCGGAAGATGCTTCATCGCAGGTGGAGACTATAATGCTAAGCATCAAGGCTGGGGCTCAAGGCTGTGTACTCCAAGAGGCAGAAATCTCTGGTCTGTCCTCCATGAACTTTCATTAGACACTGTAACACCAAATTCACCAACTTATTGGCCCACCTCCAGACGCAAAACTCCCGACTTACTTGATTTCTTTATTACAAAAGGACTAAGAACCGTAACATTTTCCGTCAATGCAACCTCCGATCTTTGTTCTGATCACTCCTCAGTGCACATGGTTCTCTTCGATGAGCCTTCCGAAACACAAAAAAGACCTAGGCTCATAAAAGGCTGCATGGACTGGGACGCATATAGAGACTATTTGAACACCAATCTTTCCGTTCCAGGATCAATTAAAAATCATGAGGAATTAGAAGAAGCTGTTGAAAAATTCACAAAAAGCATACAAGATGCAGCATGGGCCTCATCAACATCCAGGCCACAAAAAGCAGAGAACTTGCCCCATTATCCAATGTACATAAGGGACTTGATTAGAGCAAAGAGAAGAGCACGTAAAGTATGGCAGACTAACAGACTTCCTTCAGACCGACAAACTTTTAACAGATTGAACAACGAACTTAAAAGACATATTCAAAAATTCAAAAGCACAAACTACGACAATTTTATTAACAACCTTTCGACGGACGATGGAAGTTTATGGAGACATACAAGGAATCTTTTAAAGCATCGTGAGGTGTCAGCACCCCTACGAAGAGAGGATGGCTCTTGGGCTGTTTCGGACGAGGAAAGATCTGAACTCTTTGCTAACCATCTTTCCACTGTTTTTAAACCACATACAGACTTAATTAATACAGAACACGATATTTTTGTACATAATAACTTAGACATACCGCTACAGCTCACACTACCACCACTTCCTTTCACACCATCACAAGTTGCACAAGAAATTAGACAATTGCCCAAAAGAAAAACCCCTGGTCATGACTTGATAACTGCTGAGGCGCTCCAGCAAATGCCAAGAAAAGCTCTAGTGTTTCTTACCACAATCTTCAATTGCATTCTCAGGACCACCAAATTTCCTATACAATGGAAATACTCACACATAACCATGATTAAAAAGCCAAACAAAGACACTAACAACCCTTCTTCATATCGACCGATTAGTTTACTTCCAGTATGTTCTAAGTTATTCGAAAAACTATTGTACCCACGACTATTACATATACTAACAGACAGACAGATTATTCCTGACCATCAATTCGGGTTTCGAAAATTACATTCAACAACACAACAATTGCACAGGGTGACTGACTACATCTCTACAGCACTAGAGCGGAAATTATATGCAACCGGAGTATTTCTGGATGTCGCCCAAGCGTTCGACAAAGTATGGCATCAGGGGCTTCTCTTCAAGCTTAAGACCATACTTCCACATACTTACTACTTAATTCTCCATTCCTTTCTCTCAGATAGATTTTTCTCCGTTCGACATGGTCAAGGTCTATCCTCAATTCGATCAGTTTTAGCTGGTGTACCTCAGGGATCAATCCTAGCCCCACTACTGTACATCACATACACACACGACATTCCTCAAAGTATCCACACTCTTACAGCAACCTACGCAGACGACACTGCTATCATTACCAGGCACGACAATCCTACAGAGGCATCACTTAACTTACAACATCACTTACAAATTATACTCGATTGGTGTAAACTTTGGAAAACTAAAATAAATTATCAAAAGTCACAGCACATCACATTTACTCTAAGACCAGAAACATGCCCTCCTGTATACTTAGACAACATACCGATTCCACAAACAGACAGAGTACAATACCTAGGCCTTACGTTCGATAGAAGAATGACATGGGGTCCACATGTGAAGAAAAAACGGATCACATTAAATCTTTTTTTTTTTTTTAATCTATTTATTGAATAATAATACATGCAGCCACTGCTGGAGGGCTATAAGCATTAGGGCTAAAAGTTCTCATTCATACAATATATACAAATAATAAAGAAATAAATATAAATATAAGAAGTAAATAAATAATACTGATGAAGAAGATAAATAAAAAGAAAAGAAAAAATATAATAATAAACAAATAAAATAAAATAAAAACTTCTAAACACAATCATAACTATATACAATATATACATTCGCCCAAGAATCTCCGAACCAGGCTTTTTCCCCACACGGAAGGCAAAGCAAGACTCCGGAAGATCCCAGCGCCACTTTTCCAGCCGCATCACTAGTATTAGAAGCCAGTGGAGACTGAAAGAGGGCACTAGAGCCACAGACGCTCAGGACATGAGTGGAGAAGCTGGCCATTGCCAGGACTCCAAAGGCATATTTACAAAAGATCTCGAGGCCACTGCCGTTTCAACCTTCGAGGGGGATGGTATGGATGCTCGGAGCTGGATAGGGATTGGGCTAGAGGATTGGGATGATGTATGAGGTTCTGGTGAAAGTTGGAGAATCTGGATGGGATGATGTCATGGACATATGGGATGTTAAGGTCATGGTGTAGGGTCTTGTTCGTGACATAATATGGAGCATTGACTATTGTTCGAAGGACTTTAGACTGGAAGGATTGGATGCGTTTGATATTCGATGATTTAGTTGTCCCCCACAGCTCAAGTCCGTAGGTCCAGATAGGTTTCAGTATGGTCTTGTAGATTAATAATTTGTTTTCTGTTGAGAGATGAGATGTTCTGTTTAGTAGTCTATATAGCTGACCAAATCGTCGGTTAAGCTCTTGTCTTTTAAGTCTCGTATGTGGGTTCCAAGTCAGTCTTTTGTCCAGAAGGAAGCCAAGGTATCGGACTGTGTCTGAGTAGGGAAGAGGAATTGAATTAAAAAGGATTGGGACAGGATCTGCGTCGAAGAGTGAAAGTTACATGTTTACATTTTGATTCATTAATTTTGATGCGCCAGTTGTTGCACCACTGCTCAATGAAGGAGAGGTGTCTTTGCAGGTTCTGGGACGCAATTAGAGGATCCGAGTGGGAGGATAGGATGGCAGTATCATCAGCAAATGTTGCTAGGAAGGTATCAGGACTTGAAGGGATGTCAGCGGTAAAAAGGATGTAGAGAACTGGGCCCAAGACACTGCCTTGTGGGACACCAGCCTCAATTGGATAATGTTTGGAGAGTTCAGTGCCGCAGCGGACTTGAAAGGAGCGATTTGAAAGGTAGGATTTGAGGACTAGATACAAGGGTTGAGGTAAATGGGTTTTGAGCTTGAAAAGCAAGCCATCGTGCCACACCCGGTCGAAAGCTTGAGCTACGTCCAGAAAGGCACCAGTGCAATATTGCTTGTTTTCAAGTGCAGAGGATATGTGGTCCACAACGCGAAGGCCTTGTTGGACAGTGGAGTGTCTTGAGCGGAATCCAAACTGATGGGAAGGGATATTGTGGGATTCCAGTATGGGTAGGATGCGTTTGAGAAGGATTTTCTCAAAGATTTTGGAAAGGATCGGAAGTAAGCTTATCGGTCTATAGGATGATGTACAATTAACAGGTTTACCTGGTTTAGGAAAGAGGATAATTATGGAGTGTTTCCACACCAGAGGAAAGTGGGTTGTGCGGAGGATACAGTTGAATAGGTATGTAAGGAATATAATTGCTTTTTTGGGAAGTTGTCTGAGGATCTGGGAAGTAAGGAGATCGTGTCCTGGAGATTTGCGAGGTTTTAGGTTCTTTAAAAGGAATTTGACCTCAGAGGGGTTGACGGCTTTAGGAGGTAAGGAGAGAGGAATCGGTGAAGAGAGGAATTCTTTAACTTCAGCAGTATGGGAGGGATGGAGTTCAGGATGAGGAGTGAATGTGTACGATAGATGTTTAGCAAACTCTTCTGCTCTATTCTCATCTGACGAAGCCCAGGAACCATCATCACGGCGGAGGGGGTGGGAAATGGATTGGAATTTAAGGATTTTTTTAGTTACATTCCAGAGGGAGTTATCACTTGCAGATAGTGAGGAAAGATAGGAATTATAGGATTGGGATCTAAACGTAGCCAGTTTTTGTTTTACCTGCTTGGAATAATAGTTATATGATTTCCGATCATCAGGATGCCTGGTTCTTTGCCAGATGGTCCTAGAGCATCGTTTTCTATTAATAAGGTCCAGTAGGTCTTGGGGTAGAGGATTTATTTTGCGGTATTTTTTAGAAGGATAAGGTGAAGATGCAGTCCAAACTGCTTGTTGGATCAAGGTAGTCATGGAATATACTGCTTCATCTAGGTCTGCGGGTGTTTTTAAGGAAACTCTGAGGTCAATATTATCATCCAGTATTTGACGGAAGAGGTTCCAATTAACTGGCCCCCTGATAAATGAAGGTGGAGGTGGTTTGGGAATTGGTGATGTGGAGACCGTTAGGATTAGGGGACTATGGTCTGAGGAAAGATCATCAAGTCTTGAGATGCAATAATGAAGGGACCCTAGACCTTTGTGGATGAAAAAATCTAGGAGATCGGGATTGCGGTTAGGATCTGTTGGCCAGTATGTGGGAGAATTGGGTGAGAGGATGTTGCTGTGATGGGAATTAAGTGCAGATAGCAATGTTCGTCCTCGGGAATTTGTGGTTCTGGCTCCCCATTGCTGGTGTTTAGCATTTAAGTCTGCACCTAGAAGGAAGTGGTGTCCTAAGGAGTTAAGGAAGGAAGTTAATTGGGATTCTGAGATGGGTATTTTAGGCGGGGAGTATGCTGCGACTACTGCTATTGGGTAAAGGGAAGTTTGGATTATCACGGCAGTGGATTGTAGGAAATTATGGGTTAGCAAAGGGAATAGATGATGGGAAAGGGATTGATGGATAATTATGGCAGTGCCAGCATGTGCTGTTCCATCAGGATGGTCGGTTCGATAGATATGATAGTTGGGGATGTTAAGTGGTCGTTTGTTGGTAAGTCGAGTTTCAGTTATTAATGCTATATCAATGTTTTTGTCCTGTAATAAGATTGTTAGTTCGTTGACGTGATTTCGAATACCATTCGCATTCCAAAGGAGAACGGAGAGGGATTTGATTGGGGACATTTAAGGATTTCTCGACAGTGGGATGAGGTTGGATACAACATTGGTAAGCAAGGAAATGAGAGGAGTGATGAGTGACCTGAATTCAGAGAGGAAAGAAGTCAATAGGCTTGTGAGGTCAGTGGCATTGGGAGGAGGAGGAATGAATGTCTGGTTATTAGGCCTAGGTTCAGAGATGGGATAAGGGTCTTGTGGTTGAGATGTGAATACTCGAGGTTGAGGTTCTTGTGGCAGGGCCTGAGTTTGTGTGGGTGCAGTGTCTCCTTTGAACATCTGAGCATAGGACACTCTTGTATTTACAGTTCTAGAGGGTTGTCTTGGTGGCCTGGATGGCCGTTCTTCTCTTGGAGCTGCATAAATTCTTGCTTTCAGTTCCTTATATGTTTGGCAACCCTTGTAGTTCGCTGGGTGCCCTTGGTGGCATAAAGCGCATACTGCTGGTGTTCTTCTGGACTTCTGGCAGTCCTCAGTTTTATGTTGATCACCGCACCTGACACATCTAGGAATGTGGTGGCAATAGCGTTTCGTATGACCATAAGCCTGGCAGTTATGGCATTGTACAATGTCGCGCTTAGTGTAGGGCTTTTCTACAACAACGCTAGTGTAATAAAGGCGTGTGACCTTGTAGATTTCTTCGACCTGGGGCGTTCGGTCAAGGTCAACGAAGAATAGTGGGAGCGGTATTTTATTTTTTGTACCAGGCTGTTCTCTATCTTCCTTGAATATATTCACTATTTGTCGAACACGGAACCCCATCTCAGTTAGTTCTTCTTTAATGGCATCCAGCGGTGTTGATGGGTGTAATCTCCTGATCACCACCCTGAGCGCTCTCTCTTGGCGCAGTTGATATGTGTGATAATCCGCCTTAGTGTCAGATAAATACTTGACAATTTTTCTGTACGTATCTGGGGTGTCAGGCATTAATTTCGTGTCATTAGTGCGGCTTTGGCATACGTATTTACCTGAGCCCACTGTATTATTTAATTGTTGACACATTAATTGGAAATTTTTTATATTTCTAACGAATATTGGTGGAGGTTTAGGTTCACTAGGGATGGATACTGCTTCCATTTGTTCATTCTGTGTGTTTGACAGCACTTGGAATGGATTAGCTGTAAAAAAAGGCGATTCTTCTAGCGTACCTTGTATTGGTATAGCTTGTGTTGACATATTTTGTGATGATGCCAGGTTGATTTTCAACTTCGTCAACTGAGCTCTCTGGTGTAGCTGGCGGGGTATTTTTTTTAGAGCGTCTAGCCCTTTTCTTGATGGTGAACTCTTTGTGGTATCGAGACTCCTAGATCTTAAAGTTCGATTGTTACCTTTGCTCGACATTACCATATGAAAATAGCGCATCTCATATTAATTTAATTAGAGGTAACTGTAATAATTTGGAAAAAAAAAATGTCCTTTATCAATTACGTATATATTACGCGAGTTTGTGAAGTCTAAGTAACGTAGATCTGCTTCCGCCAAAGGGCAGCAGCCCACTGGTCGGATTAACGAATGTATATGGCCGGCTTGTTATCTATCACTATCCTCAGGTCTATTTACATGTTCACAATGCCGTTATAAATAAGTGATTACTCACCTTGTTTATGTCCAGTTTCAACTTAATTGTTAACTTAACAGTTTACACTACTTTTTCACATATAACATGAATTATTTCACTGTTAATAAAGTCACTTAATAAGAGACGAAATAAAGAGTATATTGTAAGGTTAACGCATGCGCAGAACTGTACATTAAATCTAAGATTAAAATTGTTACATACACTGTTAAGACGACCTTCCAAATTAAAAGTAAGACAGAAACTAAGTATTTACACGTATCTTTTAAAACCTCTTTGGACTTACGGACTACAAATATACGGAATTGCAAAACCAACTCACATAAATAAACTTCAAACTTTTCAGTCTAAGATACTACGACTAATCACTCAAGCACCATGGTACGTAAACAATCACACTTTACACACCGACCTACACGTTCCGACAGTCAATGAACACATACGAACGTACTACAAACGATTTCATAACATGTTAAACGGGCACTCCAACCAGCTGGTAAAAGAAATGGCCACAACTAGTATGCCCGAGAACTCCAGAAGACGACTGAAAAGGGTTCTGGATGAGGGATCTGCTTAATAATGTTAGTAAATAAAAGCCATGGAAGGGATACCGCTGGGTATTGCTATTCCTCATGCCTATCAAGCCTTTTTTATTATTTATTTTTTTATTTTATTTTATTTTTCTCTCATTACTAAGCCAGCACATCTGCTGATTGTCAATAATAATTGACAGGTGCGGATAAATAAATGTAAGTGCAAAAAAAAAAAAAAAAAAAAAATTGGGAAAATTCAGAATCCAAAACTATCCTGTGTTATAAAATCCAGTCTTATAAATTTAAAATGTATCCAATATTAAATACCCAATGCATAATTAAGGAACAATACTTTCTTACCAAATCCAAGACCCTCCATGGATTGTAGTGATAAAAGTTATTTTTATTTTTTTTTTAGTTTTAACTATGGAGAATCAAACTGGAAATGTAGCATTCTTAACATACTTATAATAAACAGGAACACAATCAAGAAGATTGTGTATGCAAAAATCAATAATTATATTATAATACATATAAGAGTTAAAGATTACCTAAATGCCATTTAGCCCGTTTAACGGGTGTATTGGGACCTCCTTCAGATGCGTCTTTACTTCCTCCCTCTTTTGTTAATGACCTTTCCCTAATTGCACCTAAAAAAAATTAAAACCATTGACAATAAATTGTTTAAATTTGATAAACAATCAATAAAGTAAATATTGTTAACTTATAAAAATATCATATAATACAAAAAACCTTAACTTAATTAATTAATAAATACAAAAGTACAGGTAATAATGAGAAGTTTAACTGAGCCAAAAACCTAAAATGTAAAGGCAAAGGTATCTCAAAGCCCAGATCTGAGTATCAGTCTATTCTGTTTAATGAGTAGCTGCTTGAATAAAGAAGCAATTTCCTGGTTTCTAAAATTGAAATCAAGATATTGAGAAACTATGTGTGACTGGCAACCACATACTGCACACATAGGTGCAGACTTTCCATTTTGATTAGGGTTAGAGGCCCAAAAAATTAGATTAAAAAAAGAAGGGAGTTTATATTTTATTTAAAAATTATGTAAAATGATAAATGTATAAAATAAACATAATTATTATGAAAGGAGCAATATAATACTGAATATTTACAAATAAATTTATATATATGTTAATATAATGGTTGGGCTATATCTTATTATTATTTTGTTTTACTTTTTAATGTAGGTGGATATATTTAAAATTATCTGAACAAAATTATTGAATATATTACATATTTGCCTACATTAAATATAGAGGAAGGGAGACAGCATCCATAATATACCATAACATATACTAGGCGACTAGCAAGCAAGATGCAAACAGAAGAGCCATGAAACTGTGAAAAGAATATTACATGAAAATGGAGGGGTAAACATGAGGTATAAATGAATCACAAAATACTAGGATGTTGTAAATTATTATCTCTGAATATAAATGAAGATTACAATAATAATAGAAAAGTTTGGTCCTTGCAAAATACTTATGTACCTATTTCTAGACCTTAGCATAGTAAGCAAGTCGAGTTATCCTATATTCTTAATCAATTTTAGTTTACATATGTTATTTATTCATGTAGATTACTTGTTATTATTATCTTTTTTACTTCAAATTACTGGAGTGGGGGGAGCGGCGAAAATGATATTCTTATCCCTCAAAATTTTAATTGGAGCAGCAATCGGCACTCTCGCTCCCAGAAGTCTGCTCCTATGTGATCCATAGGATTCCAAAGAAAAATGTGATCCAAATTTATTCTATGTTTTAGAAAATAATCTAATTTTAATGGTGAAGTTTAGGAAACCATTTCAAATATCCATCTGGCTATACTGTTTTTTATTTTTAAGAAGTTAAGTTATAATTAACTGATTGATATTTATCTAATTGAGTTAAAAATACATTTGTTAATTGCTATGTATTCATTTATCCATCCCATGGAAAGGATATGGAGTTCACATATATTATCATCTTAGGGATGAAATTCTGAGCTGTATACTTCACTACACTTAGTAAAAAAAAAAAGTATTCTCTCCTTACTTCTTGCTTATAAAAAGTTCAATGATATAACCTACATATGCGCAGACTTTCCATTTTGATAGGGGAGGGAGGGATGATCTCCTTTCCCTCCACCCCCAAAAAAGTTTATTTTATTAGGAGTTTCTCTTCGCTCAGGAGTTCATATTATTATAAAAATTATGAGTGATAATTAAAATGGACAAAAAGCCATTAATCCATACTCATTTAATCTTCTCCAAGCGGTACGTTCAGAAATTTGCACACCTCGAACTTATTCGAGCTGATGAATCGCTTGAACAACGGTAAGGTGCCGTTTTCGTAAAATTCTCAAACTAAAAAACCGGTCATCCCGTGGTTCTGTTACCCTAGGCCATCCAGAACCAGGCCTACTATTGTAAGAACCAGTTTCCCGAAAATGCCTGACGGTGTCTCGTAAAGTTTCATATGGCACTCCGATGGCATTAGCTGCATATCTAATGGGACGTCCATCATCAATAAGTGCCACACCACGTGCAACATCCTCAGCACTAAGAGGAATTTCTGAACTTGATATTGAAAAAATTAAAAGCCGGAGACTAAGAAATGTGCTGCAAGAAACGGCACTGAACTAATGATACTGAATAAACATTTTGATTCCATAGAAATTAACATTGGAATCTAGAATCATTTCATTGAATTAAGGATTAAGGGTTATTGTCCTCTATATTAACATTCCTAATTGAAAACAAACAAAAAGATTACCTATTTATTCATTAAAAACAATAGACCAATCCAAAGCAGAAATATTTTTAGATGAAAACATGAAAAAACCAAGTGGGTGGAATTTTCAGTGTATGTTTATATATTAGTTTTTTTTTTGTATTAGTGTATTTTAAAATACAACAGCAAAGCAATTGAATATATTGCATTTTTTTTATTTTAAGGATTTTGGTATGAGACAAATTCAATTCTTGATGTTTCATATTTTCTGCGGGAAATGTGATAGAATCTTATACATGTTTTTTGTTTTAGGTGAAATTATGCTTAATAATATAAAGCAAAGGCTGTATTTATTTCACCATGTTTATTTTCGTTTTTCTACATCAGCGACAACGCCTTTCTCAAGCCATCTGTAAGACTTAATTTGATAATACTCCTTAATGTCCATAATTGGACTGAACATAAGGAGTATTATTAAATTAAGTCTTATAGATAGCTTGAAAAAGGCATCATAGCCAAAATGTAGCCGATGTAGAAAAAGTAAAATAAACACGGTTAAATAAATACAGCTTTTACTTTATATTATAAAATCTGAACGTAAAAATGGAAGGGCGGACATGAATAAATTATAAAGTCCTAGGATATGCAACTACATATAATCACCTATGAGTATAAACTAAAATTTCAATAATAGGAACAAAGGCTGTAGTAAACTACTTGTGTACCTCTTCTAGCCCTTAGCTTAGCCATCTAATTGACTCATCCTATTTTTTTAATTGATTTTAGATTACATATTTTATTCATTCATGTAGATTAATTATTATTGATTTTATTTAATTTTTTCAAAATCTTGTTCTTCAAAATATTGGAGGGCTATATTCTTGCCCCCTCTCTATTGCTATTTGAGGGGCGATCGCCTTTCCCCTCCCTCTGAAGCCTGGGCCTATCATAATCTAATAAAATAAAGTATCTTACCAAAAATTAATATGAATCAGGTTCAAAGAGACATGTGAACTTAGTAAAAAAAAATAACTTAAAGCATTTTATTTCAGTAATCATAGTCTATATTTTAACTAACTTGAAGAAAATGAGAACTATATGATACAATAACTTTAAAATTTGTTGAAATAAATAAAAATTTCTGATTTATATTCTCAGAATGTTAATATTTACACAGTTAAATTACGTGTTTTCTGTTCATTTTATTTTAGTGTACATATTAGTGAACCAGCCTTCTCCACTTCTGCCTGTCTTGGGCTACTGCTTTCCAGTTTGTGGCATCTTTGTTGATACTATCTGCCTGCCTGTTTTTTGGCCTCCCACATGTACCATGTGATACCTTGCCTAATACTGGATCATTCATTATTGTGTAGAGGCATCCTGATGGATTGCTTTGAGGTAGGTGTCCTGCCTATCTTAATCTCCATTAACAAAGATGCTGCAGTGCCTGTAAGAACAAACTGGAAAGCAGCAGCTCAAGATATACAAAGGTGGAGAAGACTGATTTTGGCAGCCAAAGATATACAAGGGCTGTAAAGCTGACAGGAGAATATTTATATATATATTTTCTTATTTTCTCCTTCTCTTTCTCCCTCTCTCTCTCTCTCTCTCTCTCTCTATATATATATATATATTATATATATATATATATATATATATATATATATATATATATATAATTATTTATATATAAATTCTAATTTCTATAAATATAGGGTGTTTTAGGATTAAGTGTCCTAACTGAAAGAAAGGATTATTTGGGAGATATTATATAAATAAGGTAGAATAATAATATGATCTTGTTCCTCTAGCAGTGCATAAAATATTTACAATGTAAGGATTAATACTATTTGTACTTAGCACTGAGGCCTCTCAATAACATTTATCATTTTATTTAACGCTTTCACATAGTACTCATCATTATATCTTACATTTATAATAATGATGAATATATCATTCTGACTGCACTGGATTTTGTTATTGACATTAAACAAAAAATCCATGCAAGCCCAGTCAATGATCTTAATTCATAACGAAGAAGAATAATTGAAACTTGAGGAAAATAACATATATCTAGTGCCATTCGACCACTGCTGCTGTGGAAGAAAGATGCAGAGCCTATGTTAATGCTCAAGATAATCACATAGAGATGGATAATCACAAATAAAATGGAGAAAATAATATAGGTGGGACACATTAATTTATTTATTACAACCTAAATAATTTATAACAATGAAAATATTTAGACGTGAATATTTTCTAAACTAAGCGTTAACATACCTTGATAAGAACTTGTTTTCTTATTTTGAGATCCTTAATTCATATTTTTTGTTACAACACTTAACTCTGAAACACCCTGAGTGAATATATAAATACAGAATTTAGAAACTGTCAAACTGAGAGGTTCTATAAATCTAGGGTCAATGAAAATTACAAAGATAAAACTAATTAAATTTACATTAAAAATGGTTAGTGATGTTTTGTAAAAATTATTTAATAAAACTTCTTACTTGCTAGTCTTTCCGGATGTGGTCTAATAGGACTTGGAGTTGTTTCACTTGGATTAAACATAACAGGAGGAGGACTACTTGCTACATAGAAATCTTTTAATTCAGCTTTCGCCGCTTCATCAGCAATTCTTTTATTATCGATTATAAGGTGATATGCTATTCCTAATTGGTCATGTGGATCACCAGATAACAGCGCATTATGGACCTCATACTCCTTTACTCCAAATTTCTAAAACAAATATTTTCTAAATCATTGTAGTTTAATATACTTCTTGTTAAGAAATCAATGAGACCAAGAATTATTAAAATATCATACAGTAGAGCCCTTGAAAAACAGAACAAATTGCATTGTTAACAGGATGTTGCTTAGATGATCCAATCATCTAGATTACGGAGTAAATGGAGTATAAGGGACTTACAAATGCAAAAACGCATAAATATTTACATTAAAACTCTTATTTTTAACCCTTAGACACCCACTCTGAGATTGTTTGGGAAACCAAAAATAATAATTAAGATTAATTTAATAAACCTTTAGGAGTTCGAATAAGATTTCATACTTACATAATGAAATGGATGATGGACAAAAAAATTCGTATTCGTTTTTAGAATTATACGTATCCTGAAACGTAAAACATCGAGAGGGAATTAAGTTTTGATTTTTTTGTTTGATCACAATGGTTCATTATTGAAAATAATAAACCAAAAATATATAAAAATCGCGATATCTTTACTGTTGTGCTTTGATTTTAATGAAACTTCATTTATTTTTTAGGAAATTTAAATACCTTTGAAACATCTTATTACAATATCGATAAAAAAAGTGTATACTTTTTGAGTTATTCGGAATCTAATTTTACCATCCCTCGTAACTTTTTTTTCCAGCTTCTTTTCATTGAAGTATGCAGTATAGATAAATTTAAAGGGCAACAAGAAGAAGACTTTAGCAAAGTTTCATTGAAATCGGTAGATTCGTTAAGGGACTACAGTCTATAGCAACGCAAGTTTTTCGGTCGCCATCTTGAAAGGAAAAGGTGGATAGAAATGTCGATGAAGGAAGACCATCCTCGGGTGAAGTCTAATTTTAAATCCAAATTTGAAAAAAATCGGTCCAGTAGTTTCGGAGAAAATGTGCAGACGGCGGACGAACAAAAAAATTTGTATTCGTTTTTCAAATTCTATGTATCCTGAAACATAAACATTAAATTTTGAGGGGAGGTTAAGTTGTTAAATTTTTGTTTGATCACAATGGTTCACTATTGAAAATAATGGATCTCTAGCAGTAATTTTTATATCACAAATTCAGTTTCATTAAAGGCAGAAGATAGCAAGAGAGATCTTCTACTTTATATGCAATGAGTAAAGTTTTAAGATTTACAAATAATGTGCATCTCAATTAAAATTTATTAATTATAAAGAAATATATAATTATTTGTATTGATTTTGTTTAAACTTGAAAAAGTCTGTTATTTATTGTTTTCACTATACTAGCAAAGTGGATTTAAAGGTGAGAGCCAGTAAACAAATTAAATGGAGAACAGATATTTTGGAACAGATTTAAAAGGATATCTTTTGTTCAATACTAATTATACCAAGGTCACATAGTCTTGTACTAGACACCGAGTTCCTGAAATAGCTTTTTATGATTTTCAGTTTTGAAAACGACTTTTACTATTAGTGATAGTGGCTGGCATAGTTATAAACAATATAAATGTTGTACAAATGTTTGGTACACGAAAGACAATGAAGTTATTTTTTAACAATAGATTTTTTAAAAATAATTTTTTTTTTACAAAATTCAGAGGCTGATTCTAAATTTTTATGATAATTAATGAATTGTATTGTAATTATTTAAATAACTCTATTGAAATTAATGTGTATAGAGTAATAAAATAAACAAAACCAATTCAGATAAGATGTTCACAACAAATAACTATTTAATTCTTTAAATCCTTTTTTTTTTATTCATTTGGTTGAAATGTTATCCAATATGTCTGTTTATGCACTATGCCCCTCAAAGGCCCTGATCCCAATGCGCTACTTCGGTTGTATTAGCGTTATCTAGGCCACTGTCAATCACCTAAATGGATCCCTACCATTTTAAAAATGTTCTGGATTTTCTTTTCACTATAAACAATGGACAAAACATTTATAATGAATTCAATAGTGTCTTATACTCTATTTGATTTAGTGTATATGTAAGTTTAAGCATAGATACGTAAATGCTTGGCTTCAACACTCCAAATAAGAATTTAAAAAAATATATCTGATTATTATTATTACCTCACAGACTTCTTGAACTGCATCTGTATCAATCACAGAGGAATCCTGCTCCACAGGTGAAGGAAATAAATATGCTGGCAAATCTCTTTGGAACCAGTCATGCTTCCTATTAAAAATAAAAAAGTATGTATAATTAATTAACATTACAATTAATTTTCTGCAAGTCTACTCTACAATAAGCTATAACCTAGAAGTAGTAATTAGAAAAATAATGTGGGTTACACCCAATTATTGTAAATATTTTTATTGTAGATGGAATGTTAGTTATCTGAAAAATGTAAGTAAAAAAAAAATATATATATATATATATATTTCCTTCTATTTATCTGCACGCAGCTCTATTGCATCTTTGTTGATTTTTATCTATCCATCTGCTTTTTGCCTTTCCACGTGGTCTTTTGCTTTCAATTGAGGCATTCATTGTTATGCAGAAGCTTCCAAATGGATTGCTATAAGCTACATGCCCCGCCCATCTTAACCTCCATGCATTCGTATCATGGGATATTGATTGACTAGTTTCTGTAAGCAGTTCTTCATTGGTATTTCTTCTCCATGTGTTAGAACTCCGATCCCAGATCCCTCCAGTTATTCTGCGGAGGATTTTCCTCTCAAATCTTTCAACACTTTTTTTCTAGGGTGCTGGTTAGTGTCCAGGTCTCACAGCCATATATATTAGAACAGGCTTTATCACAGCATCGTACACCCTTAATTCGAGATTTTTCGGGATTTCAGTACTTTTGATTTATTTTATTTATTGTACATAGAGTGTGAATGTGATCTCTGAACACTATTATAAATGTCCTGTGAGACAGATTGTAACATTTTTCAATAAACAAGTTAAAAAAAAAAAATACTTTTGAGAGGGAGAAGAAAGTTCTCCAAAAATACATAATAATTTTTAATGAAGATTAATGTTTTAGCACACATAATAGCCCGTCTTCAGGGCTCTAAAGGTACTAGCACAGGTAGCGGAAACTAGGCTGACAAGTAGGCCTCATGATTCTTTTTGACAACCCTTGATGGCGACCTAAAGGTTGCGATCACAGACTAACCAAAGTGGGAGTGTCAAAATTCAAACTCTGGTCCTCCAAGAAATAAATAGTAGTTGAAACAGATGGGAAATGAACCCACAACATTCAGAACCAAACAATCAGGGACCCTTGCCACAACATGCTCGGCCATAATGTTCCTGAGCAAGGGTACAGATACTACTGAAATAAATACATACAAATACAAAATTATTATTTGAAGTAAAATAGACAATAAAACAAAAATAAAAAGGGACTAAATATTATATAATACAAGGGATAGATGAAACAAAAATAAGAGAATAGAAACAGTCTTTTGCAACAATGAAGGATAAAAAAACAAAACAAGGGAAGGTAATTGAATAGGGAGGGAGAGATAGGGTTAAGAGCTGTATAACAGAAATGCTATGAATAATTATAGATGAAAACAGAATAATAAATTAATAAATGACAAATGGAAAAACAATAGAGTAGGATCAGACTGTTTAAAAAAATAAAAATCAAATAATAAAAAATCAAATCAAATATGATATAAAGTTTAATTCAAACTAAATATGAATAACAGGATTAAATCTAGCTTTTAACATAATCAGGCATTGTGACTAGGATAAATACATTTTTTTTTATTATTGAAATTTACAACTGTATTAAATGATAAATACAACAAGTAAATATGAACAACTAACATGACATGCACACACATGAAGAGAAACTACCCATTGGTAGCACTCCAATCATATTTCTATATTAGAAGGTTCCGAGGCCATCTTCTTTTCAGACGCCTCGGGGGGTTATCAGCAATAGAAGAGGAAGCAAGGTTGGAAACAAGAGGGTTCAGATGGTTCAGAAGATTATAATGGAAGGCCAGGTATCTGGATTGAGCTAAATCGGAAACATATGGTACATTAAGGTCAATATGGATGATTTTATTTGTGACAAAGTAGGGAGCATTAAGGATTTTATGAAGGATTTTGGATTGTAGGGATAGGATACGAGAGGAATTTGATGGTTCAGTAGAGCCCCAAAGCTCGATCCCGTAAGTCCAAATAGGCCTTATTATAGTAGTATATATGAGTCTTTTGTAAATAGTTGGAAGTTTAGAGCGTTTGTCTAGTAAGCGCTTCAGTAATCGAAAATGTCGAGCGGTTTCTAGCCGTTTCAGTCTGGTATGGGGGTTCCAAGTGAGTCGTTTATCAAGGTGGAGCCCTAGATATCGAATTTTTTCAACAGGGATAAGTGGAGTATTGTTAAAGGATCCTGCAGGACAGGAAGTCATAAGTTTACGACGAAGAGCAAAGGTAATTTGATGGGATTTATTGGAATTTATTTTAATCCTCCAGCTTTGACACCATTTTTCAAGACTTGTGATGTGTGATTGAAGAGTTTGGGATGCAATAGATGAATTGTTATTAATTGATAGGATACACGTTTCATCGGCATAGCTGGTGATGACAGTGTTGGAATGGGTTGGGATATCAGCTGTTTAAACTGTGCAAAGGATAGGGCCTAGGATACTACCTAGAGGAACACTAGCAAACTGACAAAAAGGAAATGAAAAAGTATTGATATAATTTACTGGATAGATACAAGATACATTAAAAAAAACAACATAGAATTTGACCAGACAGAGTATGTTCAATGATTTGGAGATGGTTATTGGTTTAACTCATTTAGGAATAATTACAATCAAAGATGAGATAAACAATATCAGAGCAGTGCTGAAGTGAGATGAGATCTTTTGAATTTGAATATATTTCAACAAGTTTATAATGGTACCTAAAGCCTAGATCAGATAAGGATAGTGGATTACAAAAATTAGGAACCGACCTGTACAAAAATAGTTGAGAATGACTGTGAAGAGTTTAGGTAACAAAGAACCGCTATTGTTTAGTTGTTTATAATTATTAATAAGTCTATCTATAATGTTGGGAGGATAGCTGTCAGAAAGTAGGATCTTTTTAGTGTGTTGTATGTTTATTTTAAAGTACTGAGGTCAGGAAAAGATAAGACAAAGACAAAACATGTAAACATTTTTTGTATATATATATATATATATATATATATATATATATATAATAACTTAAGATATGAATTATAGTCGGATAATATTATAATTTTTATTATCGGATAATTTTTTTATTTTCAAGTGTAATTTATTTGAAATCTAGTCAGGATGTGCTTGACGGAGACACTCAATAAAGTTAGAATCATTAGAATAATTTGTCCGAAAAATTTGAGGTTCATTTGGGCTTAAAACGGGGGGATTCTCTTTCGCCTGTCCTGTTCAATTTGGCATTAGAACATGCCATTAGGGAGGTAATGCGTACCGAGAAAGGGTTGGATCTGGGCGGGGCAACATCCGTGCTGGGCTATGCTGATGATCTGGTACTGTTAAGCGAAGACGTTGAAACTATAAAACTAAATACGACAATGTTAATGAAAGCCGGTAAAGAACTAGGACTCGAAATAAACGTGGATAAAACAAAATATATCGTTAGCTGCAAAAATGGCGATACTACTGGTGCTATCGATATAGATGGTAATGTGTTTGAACAGGTAGATAAATTTAGGTATCTAGGTTCTACGATAACTAGAAAAAACGAAATTGAAGAAGAGATTAAGGTTAGACTGAAGGCGTGAAATGCTTCTTATTTTTTTGTGACAAAACTACTCAGTTCGCGCCTCTTGTCCCGAAACTTAAAAATTAGAATCTATATAACAATTATCTTGCCTACAGTTCTATATGGATGCGAAACTTGGCCGCTTACATTAAGGGATGAGCAGCGTCTTAAGGTTTTTGAAAATAAAGTATTGCGTAGAATATTCGGACCGAAGAAGGATGAGTTAACCGGAGAGTTCAGACGGTTACACAACGCTGAATTGCGTAAGCTGTATCCGGGTAATATAATTGAGGTAATTTCATCGCGGCGAATCAAATGGGCTTGTAAAGTTGTTGGGCTTAGTAACGAGAGAATTTCTAAAAGGTTAATATTTGCTGTGCCAAATGGTAAGCGTCTGAGGGGTAGACCGAAGCGAAGGTGGGAAGATTGCATTAAAGCTGATCTGAAGGGACTGGGTTTGGATGGCGAACGGTGGAGGGAGCTGTGTAACAAGCGATTGGTGGTGTCGGCATCGAACTTTCGGGTTCGCTAAGCCTTATTATTATTATTATTAATTTATTTGAGGGCTTCTGGTTTGTGCCATTCTCTGTATATTATAGGGCCCTAAATTCATACTACTTTTCATAAGGATAAATGGAGCCATGTCCAAGTTATTACAATTTTTGTGATTTTAAAAAAATCGAAGACTCAAGCCTGGACGAAATTTTTTTATTGGTATGAAAATTCATATTTAAGGGTTTTTTCATGGCACAAAATACAAATTTCGACTTTGTTTTTCCTTAAAAAAATATTTGAATCCACTTTACTCCTAAGGTCAGTACTAATTGTTTTAATATGTTACTTGTACTATAACTGTATGCCTCATAAATATTTTTTTCTAAATCGGACGGGTATCAAAAGTAGGATTACATGCACAAAATCTGGTATTTTTTTGAGATTCAGTTGGAAAATAAGAATAAAGCATGTATTTTACATATTGTACACAGATTATACTATGAAATATATTTTTTGGGGTAAATAATGATGATAATCGTTTTCCACACCTCTGAAAACCCTTAAATAAGAATTTTCGTTGCAATAAAATTTTTTCTCAATAATCAGCCTTCTTTTGGCAGCTCTCATGAGATGATTATAACTATCTATGTTTATAACTTTATATTAGATATTAGTAAAGCAAAATTTATTTCGATTGCAATGAAAATTTAAATATCTAAATATGTTTAACAGTTGTAATATCTAACATAAAGCTACTAAGATCTCATTAGCAATATGTTTTTCTTATTTTACACAAACAAACAAATCAATTGATATACAATAACTTATAAATTCATGCAGAGCTAAGTCAAAAAACAGTTACATACACAGAAATATTTTATTTTCTTCTTTTGTTGGGAAGTTGTTAGTGAATTAATTCAAAGGTAGGCAATAAACCTTTCTTAATTACTAACAGATGTTGT